CCCTGCTGGGCCTTGTCCCTGTCATTCTCTCCCTGTGTTTCAATTATGAACATCAAGACGTCAGGAGAATCTGTTGAACATTTTACTTTTCTCTTGAGGAAGGCATAAGTGTATGTCCCCCTCCATCACAGTGAGTCTTGGGAGTTCAGTGGAGTTTTCTGCGTCTCTCACAGTGGGATTGGTATTTGGTAACTAGAATCTGGGACCCTGGGGTTTCCACTGCTTCTGGGTAGTCACTGGTTTTTATACACCAGTGGACAGAATAAAGAAAGGAAATGTATTTAAAAGTAGAATTCTCGCTAGGCGGTGGTGGTGCACACCTTAATTCAGTACTCGGGAGGCAGAACCAGGCAGATCTCTGTGAGTTTGAGGCCAGCCTGGTCTACAGAGCGAGTTCCAGGACAGGCACCAAAACTACACAAAAAACAAAAAACAAAACAACAACAACAACAAAAGTAGAATTCTTAGGCTATAGTTCAGTGAGTGGTAGAATACGCATTTATTATGTGAGAGACCTGGGGTCAGTCCCCTGACAAAGAAATTAAAAAACAACAAAAACCCAAACTGTGGAATGGTAGTTGCCAGGGCCTGGGATGAGGAGGGAATGGGAAGTCTAGTGTGAGTTGGGAGGGGTGAAATGGATGCACAGCTGTGTGAATGTATTCACTGCCATGGTATTCTAGCTTAAAAATAGTTTAAAATGGTATGTTTTATGCAATGGTATGTTTTATGCTGTGTGTTTTACCATAAAAATAAAATCTTTTTATAGTAGAAAAATAGACAAAATATAAAAATTTTTCACTTTTTATTTCAACCTAGTTTTAAGATTATAAGAACTTTGCTTAATTTTTGAATGTTATGCTTATGAACATTTTATACTCCTTTAATGAAATTTGCTTCTGCACTGATACCTGATATAACGCCATCTGGCTCTGATGTCTTCATTCAGTACTGTTCTTTTTTGGGATCTGGGTATTTATGTGCTAAAGTCTGACCCTTTCCTCTGTCTTCTCTTTTGAAACAGACCTTGCTTCCAGGACTTGCTGGACCCTCTGGGGAGGTGGTTAAACCCACGACAGGTGTGACTTCCTCATCTACTAGTGGAAGTGGTGACAAGGTCTATGCTCACCAGATGGTCCGTACAGACTCCCGGGACCAGAAGCTTGACGCCTTTCTACAGCCTCTGGGCAAGGTTCTGCCCAGCCAGCCCCAGGACCCTGTCCAAGGGGAGAGAACAGAGGGCCCTCCTGAAGAAGTCGTGCAGAAGGATGAGGAGATGGTTGAGCTCCCAGCCCCGACAGAAGCAGCTGCCGTCAGTCAGAACTTGGAGAGGGACGCAGGAAGAGGGGTTTCTGAAGCAGCACAAAAAGCAGCACCCTCTTCCAGTCCAGGCAACCCCAGGTGTGGCCTCCTTTGTTCTCCATTAAAACTGTCTTCTAGCAGGTTCTCCACAAATGAGTTGTGCCTTCTGCTACTGTGTGCATTTGACAGTGGCTCACGTGGTTTCCTGTGAGAGTCTTACATGTTCGTGGTTTTATGTCTTAGGAACACATTGGAAGGAGCACAGATGTGGTTTATTTTTTAAGATTTATTTATTTATTATATATACAGTATTCTGTCTGCATGTATGCCTGCAGGTAAGAAGAGGGCACCAGATCTCATTATAGATGGTTGGGAGCCACCATGTGGTTTCGGGAATTAAACTCAGGGCCTCTGGAAGAGCAGCTGGTGCTCTTAACCGCTGAGCCATCTCTGCAGCCCCCTCGACTTTTGTTTTTAAGAAAGCACTTGGCAAACCCTTGACACCCGGTGTGACTGAAGAGAAAAGCCTGAAATGGCTCTCCATCCTCGCCACAGCTGCTGTTGCTCCCTTCAGAAGCAGCTCAGTTTACAGAGTTCCCTGACGTTTGTGAGCCCAGGGGAGAAGAGTTAGTGTGGAGCTGGAGTAATTGAAAGGCCTTTTAACCGTGAGCACTTCTAGTGTGTGCTCTGACAAGTTCCCCAATGCCGAGTCCCACTGAGGCTCATGAGCTGGCAGTGACCTGGTGCTCAGTTGAAAACCACTTGCCCGAAGTGCATGTTCTGGAGGTGCCATCAAGAGCTCTGGCACCGGAGTGAACATTGCATGTGGACGTACTGTTTAACTCTGGTTTGCTCGTTCCTGCTTTGGCCTACCAAGGCAGCTTTTAAGGAAGTTTTGCCAGAGAATAAATGATGCAGGTATTTTCATGCTGGGTACTTTATATGTATTATCTTGTTTAATGTTCTTACCCTGCCAAGGAAATATTCCATTTGTTCATCATTTGGGGAACTGAATGCTATTTATCACAGGGCAGTCAAAAAACTTTAAAGAAAAAGAGGGTTATATTCCTCCCACTGAAAGCCTTTCCAGGGCATTACACATAGGATGATAGCCTAAATCTCACCTTGCTTCCCTCTTCCCTCTTGCAGTATTGTAGTCACGTGACCCTTGGGACTGGCCTGGACTGGCTGAGCTTCTTAGGCCCTTGGTGTTCCTCAGCCTGGAACTCTGGGCTCTTGTCACTCATGTCTCAGCTCAAATGTCACCTTTTCCCAAAGGCATTCTGTCTTAGTTAATTTTCTGTTGGTATGAGGAGACACCATGACCAAGGCAACTTACAAAGAAAAAGCATTAATTTGGGGCTTCTTACAATTCAGAGGGCTAGTCCACCATCGCTATAGCAGGAAGCATGGCAGTGGGCAGGCAGGCAGGCAGGCATGACGCTGGAGCAGTAGCTGAGAGCTTATATCTCATCTACAAGTTGGAGGCGGAATGAGAGAGACTGGGCCTACTATGGGCTTTTGAAACCTCAAGCCCACTCCCAGTGACACACCTCTTCCAACAAGGCCATATATCCTAATCTTCCCAAACGTTCTACCAACTGGGGACCAAGTATTCAGATATGGGGGTCATTCTCACTCAAACCACCATGTTGTCCATTCAGACAAAAAGATCCCTTCCCTCATACCTTCCCATCAGTCTGTTACATGGCCTTGTATTTTCTTCCTAGCATCTGCCACTATTAAAACTTTTTTCTTCAACTAGAAAAATGGCTCAGTAGTTAAGAAGAGCACTGGTTGTTCTTACAGATGACTCAGGTTATAGATGACCCATGATTCCTAGCATCTAGGACATGCCGGGTCACAGCTGTCTGTAACTCTACTCCCAGGGAATCCAGTGCCCTCTTTGGCCTCTATAGGCATCAGGAATGCATGTGGTGTACAGACATACATGCAGGCAAAACAGCTGTACACATAAAAGAACTTTTTAATTAAGCATTTAAAATTGGATTTTAAGTCTGTCTGTTGCTAACTTTCCTGCTAGACAGTAAGCATGAGGGCTTCCCTTTTCTAATGTGTTCACTGCTGTATGTAGTTAGTGTGTATCAGTGTCAGATGGATGGGTAGATGGACAGATGATGGATCTTGGAATGATTCATGAATGAATGAGGCTTGACAAGGTCTATTTACTTGCTCAAGGCCCTTGAGATCTGAGGGTTATCAGATAGGTAGTGTGACACAGGACAGTTACTGGCCTGCCATAGCACAGCATGTGGAAGCTGCCACCGGCACTTAGACGCTGTTCATTTCTCTGAAGTTCAACACATACACTCGCTGAGTTAAAAAAAAAATAAAATGGAGCTGGGCAGTGGTAACACATACCTTTAATCCCAGCACTCAGAGACAGAGGCAGGCAGATCTCTGAGTTCGAGGCCAGCCTGGTCTACAGAGCGAGCTCCAGGACAGTCTGGAGATCTGGAGTTCTTTCCTTTCATTGCAGAAAGAGACATCGAGAAGATTCTGATGTGGAGATGATGGAAAATGACTCCCGGAAGGAAATGACAGCTGCCTGTTACCCCCGGAGGAGGATCATTAACCTCACAAGTGTCTTGAGTCTCCAGGAAGAAATTAATGAGCGAGGCCATGAGAGTACGTAAGTGCTGAGGTGTGTGTGGCACTCAGGGTTTTGGAAATGTAGAAAGCACTCATATTGTCAGGTGGGCACTGCCGTGTGCTGCATGGATAGACTGTTTCCCCTTACACAGGAGACAGTTCTCAGCAGGAAGAGAAGGGCTTCTTCTTCTTCAGTGAGCAAAAATAACTGTTACTCCTATTAATGAAGGGGTGGCCACAGTGGTCATTGCAGTAATTTCTACTTTGTTTCTGTTTTTGCTAAAAGCAGCATCATGAACGAGCAGTGAAGTATTTATCCTGTCAAGTGGGGTGTGCTTAGCTGAGACTTGACAGGTCATGCCGCTGGAGTTCAAATCCTCAACTCCCATTTTCACTGTGTGACCTCACACTGTGACTTAGCTGTTCTGTGCCTCGGAATGTGAGATTGATTTGTCTTAGAAGATCACCAGCTGATTAGAAGTAACCAGTAAGACACTTGTTAAGAAAGCGGGGTATTTTTATATCCTGAAGGCCGATTAAGTCCTTCCTTGTTATCCTCAGAAGTAGCTTTTGAGAGTAGTTGAGTACCAAACTTCATCCTGGTCCCTGTTAATAGAAAACTAGCTGGAAGGTTTTAGAAGTGAGTGGAGGGCGGAGTCAGTAATTAGATGTAAGGAGACCGACCGGCGGTGACAGCCGTGCCGCCCTCACAGCCGTGTTCCACACCTGTGAGGAGCTACTCTTCCAGTGTGGGGATCGTGCAGGCTCCAGGTGGCAGCTCTGTGCTTGAATCTGTCATCTGGCCGTGACCTTTCTGTTTTCATCTGCCGTGCGTAAATCCGAAAGGCCTGCAAGATGGCTCCCTGGGTAAAAACACCAGACTCGATAATCTGACCCACATGGTAGAAAAAGAAAACCAACTCCTGAAAGTTGTCCTCGGACCTCTACATGTGCACTGTGGTACGTGCGTGACCTCCACCCACCCACACACACAACAAATAAATATAGAAAAAATCAATCAATTTCACTATTACTATAAAATATAAATTATGATCATCTGCATTGTTACTTTGTGTTTTGTTTTGAGACAGGGTTTCACTGTATAGTTTAGGCTAGCCTAGAACTCAGTTTGTAGCCCACATTAGCCTTGAGTTTTCTCTCTCTTAGGTCTGGGATTACAGGCATCTGCCACCATGTCAGCCTCCTGAATTACTTTTTGAAAAGATTGTACAGCTCAGGAGCAAATTAGTCCATCCACTAAGCCTGAACCCTCTGCCATAGCTGCCCCATGTCAGCTTCTTCCAGTTTCCATCTCTGTCACCATGGTCTGAGCCGACACGGGAAGGCCTGAACTTATTCATGTATTGCTCCATATGTGTCTGCTAGGTCTCTCCACCCCACCCTCATTCTGTCCAGTTACATGTGATGCACAACGTCTTCCTGTGACTGGGCTTCTGCCCATTGTACATGTTGCCAATTGGCTCCCGATTGTTATTTCCATGATGTGTTGTGGTTGTGCATTCCTTTGAGTTACTCTCCACGCCGGGAGCTCTGAAAGCAGTTTTAAATTGCTTAAGAAAGATGAGCTGCTGCGTGATTTCTTCAGCAGCTTTCCTCAGAGTGGTTTTTAGATAATCTCCCTCATGCTTAGGTCAGTAAAGATCATTTCAGTGATAGTTTTAACTAATAAACTTTTTGGTACAGGGTAAAATCAGCCTATATCAAGTGTGGTCATATTTATTTAGAGTCTTGCTGAGGCCAACATGATGGTTCTAAGTGACCTAAAAAATATATATCCATGCACACTTTCTAACTTAATTCTCAAATAGTCTTTGGAGAGAGCACATGCTTCCATCTTCTATTTTAGAGACCAAAAAAGGAAAGATGAAGAGATGAGGAAAGGAAAAACAGATGACATGGAAATATCTGGACAATCTAAAACTGGCCTGGCATGGTGGTCCTTGCATTGAGTCCTCACCATTGTGAAAACTGAGGCAAGAGGATCACTTCAGCCTAGGAATTCTAGGCTAGCCTGGACAATATAACATAGTAGGACTTCATGTCAAAAACAAAATCAAAAATAAAACAAACCAAAACACACAAAGAAGAACAGCCAAGCACAGTGAGTTGGTACTGGCAATGTCCTTTGTGGGTAGGCTCACCTGATATTTAAATGCAAAGTCCGGTCAGTGTATTGTTCTTCAGTAAACAGTCTTGAATCAGATGTGGACACTGTTAACCTGGTTTTCACAGGGACTGATGTGCTACATATCAGTTAATTATTTGCAACATGATATTAGTTAGTTAATTTGTGCGGTGTGTTGCACCATACTTGGAGTGGTAGCTGAGATGAATGGGGTCACACAGGTTGTTTAATGAACCTTGCTGACCCATCAGGCAGAAGGGCAAATAAGCAGTAACCACCCCAACCCCTGAGGCCTGGGAGGCGAGGCAGGGCCTCTGCGCTAAGATCCCTCCTTAGCTTAGCTTTATCTGTTGGTGCTGAGAAGATGTCAAAACCCACAGTCTCAGTTTTGAAGTAGGATGTATGGTTTAGCTTTGATATAGGTTTTCTCCATTTTGGTCTTTGCAGGATGGAGGAAAACACATAGAGAAACCTTCTAAGGCTAGAAGAGCATTTTGGATGGGATAAAATAGAGGCCCTTGAAGTTCTGTGAAAAGGCCCTGTGCTGGGCCAGCTGACATGGATTCTGCCTTCCTGCTGGCTGGGGATGGTTAGAGAGACCATGAATTTCCTCTTAGGAACTCTTGGCCTCCTTTCAGGGGACTATACTGCTCTTTCTCCTCCAGTGGCTCGTTATTCTAGACTATTTGATGCTTTCCAGCTTTAAAAGTAATCATCTCCACCTAAACAGAACATCCTGTAAAGATACGAGTTTCCAGTGGACTGGGGAGGAGATGAGTGTGTGTGTGGGGGGTGCTTTGCTTAGTCCCCATGTGAAGAAAGTAATCGTCTTTATGGGCATAATTACAGAACTTACATAACAATGAAAACTCACAAATATAGCAACGACGGCCATGACAAGCTGAGTTTGTTTTCTCAAAATCACTTTGGTTTTTTAAAATTCCAGGTTGATAATTGTTTTTTTGTTTGTGGG